AAAATGTTCATAAGTTTGAAATTCACTTTAATTTAGGGCAATCATTTAATGGTGAAAATATAAAAATTCACAATTGAGTATGTTCAGGAAAGTCTACGATTCTTCTTCAGAAAACATATCGCTGTTGTCATCTGTCAAATCTTCTTGAACTGATGTTTCATATTCAAGAATTTCTTGATCACTCAAGTGGGAACTACCTTCGACGAAAGCTGCAAACCTGAAATGGGTTCAATGATTGAAATTCGAAACATTTTGATATATTGAGAAAAATTAATAATGAAGTTTGAAGTATCAAAGTATTAGATACAGCATCAGTTTCTATAGATACTAGACGAAACATATTTATGATAAAGTTTCATTGAAGCCTATAAACTGCTTCCAAAATTATGAAATATTTCGTTTCTCAATGGAACATTACAGAAATAAAAATTTCCCTTCATAAATTGAAACCATAATTCGAGTGATACGCTCGACTTTTCGGAATTGATTGATTTTCTCAAAAACTTTCGCAAAAATTATACCCAGCTATTGTATAACAAAACATGTGCTGCGTGCCATGTTTTGCATGTTCTGTTGATGAATATGTAGTCCCTCAGTGTTTTAATAAACAAAAGTTGATAATATAATGAATAATAATGAATTCAATACCAACCTTTTAATGTCACGCAGTTTCTGAATAGTTTTCCACTGATTACAGTCTGGACTCAAGCAATAGCTCCTCAACTCGTCAAGCGCTTTTGACGTTTCTCTGACTCCTTGTTGATAATACTCTTCATCGCTAAGCAACTTGATCTTTGGTGGAAATTTTCGCCTCCTGTATGAAAAATGCTATTATCAAACCCAGAATAGAAAAATATGCTTATAGTAAATCGATAACCACTCCTGAAAGTAATCTCAAAATAAATTCATAGGCTAGCTAATTGCAATGATTTTGTGCTTGGTTTGGTATTGAAATGAAATTTATTTTATTCAATAATTCGACGTTGATTTGCGAAATTTGTTTCTCGAGATTTTAGCCTCGAAGTGGTCGACCTACAGGACGAGGATTTGAGGACACCTCTTACCTATAATACTATGTATACAGGTTTATTTCGACTTACCAATATACTTTAGGAAACAACAGCCAACTGCTTGATAAGTTATATCCAATTAGTAGCAATATTATTTGGCCCACAGATGCCTCGCGACACTGGCTACTATTAAATACACAACTCAGACCTGCTATCTGTAATGACCACCTCACCAAATTCAATGTCCTTGGATTCTTCACTGGTCCCCATATGTAGCAAACTAAAATATAATAAGGATTCAAACTGAGTCTTAATTAAAATTCAATTTTGCAGAAGTTTGACAATATTTGCTGAGAAACATTCTGATATTCAGCAGCAGAGTGGCTGTGGAAAAATGTAGGTGACGATTAAGATGCCTATACACTGGTGTAGCGACTCAAACGTGTAGAATTTTCATCTGCCGAGCAATAAGACTCAATTGATTTCATTTGGTCTTGAAACTTTCCCAAAATAACGTTGAATACCATAGAATTCTTGGCGGCACAGTGCTACATGATATAAAGTAAAAGATAAATGTGAATTGTGACGACAGTGTTACGTTTATCTTTGAATCGCATTCTTTAATCTATAAGAATCGTCAACGGTTTTTATTATCAAGCCTATGTCTGCCATCTGTGTGTGTGAGTAGACAAACTTTATTTTTATGTGAACAATGAGTTGAAAATATATCTATATTGCGAGAAACTCATTTGCGACCAGTTGTTGACTGGTGGCAGAAGAGGTCCGATCCTGCCCTACGACAACGCTCGTCCACACGATTCAGAAATCACCGGCGAAAATTAAACGAATTGATCGTCGAAGTTCTGGCCACCATACTCCCCAGACCTCCTGTCAACAGACTACCATCTTTTTACACAGTTATCTTCACGAAACGGTCACGTTATTATATTCACTGAAGTTTCTTCTTCAAGTTGTTTACTAATAGTTTTACTTTCTGAATTGTCTGGCCAACAGTGTCTGACGAGAGTTTTCACAATACAGCATTCATGGATTGATATAGAAATTATTTGTATAATTTTTTTCATGAGCTTAATTCTTTATACTTTTGATTCAAAATTAATCATAAAATATTCTAGTTCTTACCTATTTGTTGTACGATCTTAAGCCCTTCCAGAATAAATTAAAATCGATCCCAACTCTGACCACCATCATTACCTCAAGCGTTACCAACATATCCATCTATTATCTACTTTCAAACAGCTCGTCTTTCCAGAATTCTAATACTACATGATTTTTCCCCAAAATAGATATATGATATCCATTTGAACAAATCAAAACATTAAAATCTGTCTCAGGCAAATGCATTTCATATGAACCCCATATTACAAAAAATAGTTCTAACAAAAACTGTGAAGACTCAACAGATTGATCCATTCAAAGGAAGATGTGGAATATGTCAAAGAATCTGGAAAAGACATTTGAATTAGTCACTGGTGAAAGGTTGACAGATGAAGAGAATGAAATTTTCAACGACTTGAAAACAATTGAAAATATGATAATGACGGTTTGGAATAATCGTTCAGATTATTAGGTACTTTTGCCTTCACCTCAAAGTTAGAAATTGAGCTTGAACTCTCCAAGAATGTTTTTGCCAATCAGAAAAATTATAGTGGTTTCAATATCAGAACAAATTTTTTGGGAAAGAAAAGTTTTAGCTTTCTACTTACCCATCTTTATACTTCCAAAGAAAGGAAGAAGGCAATTAATTTCAAAAATGAACTATTGAACCATTTACGAACGTGTGTAGATCATGCAGTTACTTTCATACACAAACTGGAAGAAAATGCCCTTTCGAAACAACTACTTCCAAATGAACATTGAATTATACAAAAAACACTCTTTTCTATTCAGTTTGTATTCCAAACATTCAAATTATCTGAAAGAACAATTCGTTCAGGCCAGTCCCAACTCACCTCACAACAACTAATCCCCTGGATAATACCACGAAGGGCGTTGGATAATATTCGACGGGTGTCAGTGCAGGATTCTTCACAGAAGCAATTTCTGCATATGTTGTTGGCGATACATCTGCCGGAATCGATTTTCAGTTAGTGGAACACACTTGCACACCGATTTCGGGCTGTTTGGCCACTCGTCAGTGTAAGGTATCATTCCTTGAACTAAGCTGAAGCGAACGACAAACAACATATTCATCATCGCCCCATCTGCCCGTGAACGAGGTAACCAACCGCGTATCCGAATCACCCAATTCCACGTATAAGGCAAAAACTTCACATATAGTGGGGAGGCATACTTGAAGACTGACTATGAATCAAATTATCTTAAAGAACAATTTGTCCAGGCCAGTCTCAACTCCCTACACTGCAGGTTAATGGACTGACCCCTAAAACAACTACTACCCTGGCTAATACCACGAAAGGCGTTGGATTATATCCAAACATTCGTTATGGAATTGAATCAGATCACAAGATTGATACACAATGTAGTGAATGCAAGAGATACAATTTCACTTACACTGTCAAAACCTTTCTTTCCCATAAAATTAATCTCTCCAAAAACTATACCCCTTTCAATTTAAACAGAACAATTTATTTCACACTAAAAATTTACTTTGTTTACAATTGTTTGTGCTGAAGAGTGCACCAACAAACAAGTTATCATTTTATACATACTCCAATACTAGGGAATCCCTAGTTCTTCAGCTTTATTTGTACATACGAGGTCCGGCTATTAAATAACGAGACAGCGCGCCTATAGGGCGCCCTAGAGGGGTGGGGAAAGAAACGAGTTGGGTATCTGGAAATCTCTATTCACGCACCAAAACACATTTTCGTCACTATTATAATATTTGTGCAGTAGCGGTTTGAAACAAACGTGTTTTTTTCTCGTGCCAAAAACCATGTGTGACGAAAAACAGAAGCAACGTATCAATTTCAAATTTCTCGTTAAATTGAAAACAACTCCGACTGAGTGCAATAAATTGTTTGCAAGAGGCCTATGTGGACAATTCTCTATCTGGTGCGCGTGTTTTTGAGTGGTGTAAGCGCTTCAGTGGGGGCAGAGAGAGCAAGAATGTCCAAATCAAAATTGGAAGCAAAGTTGATCATTTTTTAGACAATAACGGTATCGTAATGACTGATGGGAAGGTTAGACTTTTAGACTTGGGAGGGTTAGACTGTTAACCCGACTTACTATTTGTCAGTTTTGGCAACACTGCGAGAACGAGGTCGTAAGAAACGGCCCGAGTTATGGAAACATAACTCGTGGATTTTGCACCAGGAGGCAAGGTCCACGTCGGAAAGGGTAGCTTGTAATATCCTCCAAAGCACGTTGGACGTTGTTCACAGTTGGTGCCTGAGGGAGCAGATGTCTGTCAACCCCAGCAAAACTGTGGTAATCCCCTTCACCAAAAGGAGAAAATTGGACGATCAAAACGTCAATTTCCCTCAATGGTGAGGTCATTCCATTTGGAACGGAGGTGAAATATCTTGGCATTGTCCTTGGCATTGTCACTTGGAAAAAGTTTTGCACAAAGCCAAACTGTCTCTATGAACATGTTGAAGGATTTGTGGTGAAATTTGAGGTTTAGGTCCCTAACAAATCCATTGGATTTACGTGATGATTGTCAGACCAATGATCACTTTATTCCTCCAACTGTCAACTACGAACTGCCTTATAAAGTACTACTCCCGAGTAGAGAGGACTGGATCCTCCGGGAGAAGGAAATATTCAGAGCAGATAGTTGTTGGTTCACAGATGGATCAAAAACACCTTCCGGTTCTGATGCAGGTGTTTTCAGTCGCAGACCAAGGACCTAGACCTAGGAATTTATGAGACTGTATTTCAAGCGGAAATTTGCGGTATTGAATAGTGTGCGGTTGGATAAATCCAACCTTTGGGCTTTGCCAAACAAGCATTGAACACCTGGATGGCAAGAAGATTTATGAACCTCTGGCGGATTGGCTCACTCCAAGGCATTTATAAACCCTTCGAAGCTTGATACCAAACAGTTGTTGGACTACAGTAGGGATGAACTACGATGTCTAACAGGCCTTCTTACAGGTCACTGTCACTTGAATCATCATATGCAGACTTGGACTTTCGGAAGACAGTGTGTGTCGCCTCTGTCTGGAAAATGATGAAACTGCAGAGCATATACTTTGTGCCTGCCCCGCTGGGGACCGAATCAGGTTCTTAGAGTTTCGGCAGATCCGTACTCTTACCTTCTGACCTGAGAGACCACTCACCATTCAAACTAATCGGCTTCGTTCAGAAGCTGGGTTTATTTGGCCGAGTGTGAATAAGTGTGAGCCACAATAAACCCTTGCGGTTTGCGATGGAGAGTCGGATAGACCCACTCACTTTAGACCTGACCTAATCTAACGCACCCGCCCATAACGCGCTATCTGTGAAGCGATATTTGGCCGATAAACGCACTCCAGTGAGTTTTTTGTTTCCGAAGATAAAATCTGGTTTGAAAGGGACCCGATTCGAGTCGGTGGAAGCGGTAAAGCAAAAAACGGCAGAGCCCCTAAAGGCCCTCACCAAAGAAGACTTCCAGCACTGCTTCGATCAATGAAAAAACGTATGGAAAGGTGTGTGGCGAGGGAAGAGGAGTATATTGAAGGGGAGCATTCAAATGTAGAATAATTTTTATAATGAAACCCTTTTTCGTAACCAGTCTCGTTATTTCAAGCACTTCGATAACTTCCTCAACGATAGAACCTTTAGTCCAGTCATTATAGTAAGTTCACCTCGGAATTCGAGATACCCAGCTGTAAGTCTGTAAATACTTGTATATTGACACCCTGAAAGTTGTCTCAAAACCTACATATGGTAGGGTGTAAGCAACTATTAAATTTCAAGGTCAAAGGTCACAAAAATCGGTTTTTTGCGCTTTTTTTGGAAATAT